AGGTTTTCTAGTCCAACCCCCTACTAAAGCTATACTATTTCAGACAAGTAACTGTCCAATCTTTTCTTTAAAACCTCCAGTGATGAAGCACTCACAACTTCTGGTTTTTAAGAAGAGATTTATTTAGGATCAATAAGTAAATTATAATAAATAAGTAAATAAACAAGTACCATATTGGTTGTTGATATCTAATGTGGATTGTTGGTCTAATGTTAATCTTGGTGTTAATCTCTGCTCATATGAATGTTAATTGCTACTGAGCAGGCGTTCTGGTCTCTGCTTCCTTTTTTCCTTTTTATTGCCTCTTTTGAGTGGTGTATAGATGTTTATATCTATGTGCCTCTTGATGGTCAGGTTATCTGAGTTCAGGCTTCCAGGAATTCTCTGGCGTTCTTTGGACTTGGCTAATTGAAACTATGGTTGAATCTGTCCATGTGTTTTGAAATGTTTAGCATTTCTTCTGACTGCTATTTGGTGTCCATGGATGGGCTCTGCTAATCTTCTCCCTGTTTGTCTCTCATAGTGGCTGTTAACAATCCTTACATTGTACGTTGTATGTTTTTTTCTTCTTCTGGGCCTCCTGAGACTTTTGGTTTACTTAAGATGTTTTGGAGGGCTTTAGTTGGTTTGTGATGCCATGTGGTTGTAATGGTTTATTGATGGTTTCTGAAATATTTCTGATGAATGGCCAAATTTTCTTTTAACAGCTTCTGTTGGTTGAGCTATGGTAGCTTAAGCAGTCAGGCACTTTTGATAAAATTGTATGGATATCCGTTTTGTTGGAAGATGTTGTGTATACACACACACACACACACATGTTTCCCTTTTCCAATGTTCAGGGTTTCTGCAGTACATTTGTCTCCTTCAAGTAGTATTTTTACACAACTTCTCTTGTAGAAGGTTGGATTGTTATTTTGGTAGTGGAGCGCTTGGTGTGTGTAGGTGGTTGTTATTTGATAAATTTGTACTTCTAATTTGCTTTCACTGGCTAGGCTGATGAGAATATCTAGGAAGGAGAGCACGGTTTTTTTTCCAGCTTCTTCGTCTGTGAATTTTCTTTTGAAGATGTTGATAATCTTGCGTGTTTTCTCTAGTTGGCACTTTTTTATTATGACTAAGATGTTTATTTGACTTACAACAGTTTGTTTAGTGACTATTCAATGTTACAAAGGGACTGAAAAAAAGTTACTTATAACTGTTTTTCACACTTACAACATTGCAGCATCCCCACAGTCATGGGACTAAAATGCAGACACTTGGCACTGACACATAGTTATGATGGCTATAATGTTTGGGGGCAGTGATATGATTACCTTTTGCTATTTCTGGCAAGCAAAATCAACGTGGAACTTAAATTCATTCTGCAGTGATTCACTTGGCAACTCTGGCAAGAGCAGTCATAAAATGAAGCAAAATTCACTTCACAACTGTCTCACTTAGCAACAAAAATTTTGGGCTCAATTGTCATAGATTACTTGTATGTGAGATGGTTATTAAATGAATCACTGCAGTTAAGTTAGTAAGTTAAGTGAATCTGGCTTCCCCATTGACTTTGCTTATCAGAAGGTCACAAAAGGGGAATCTCACATGACTTGGGACACAGCAACAGTCATAAGTATAAAAAACAGTCATAATAATTTTGCAAGATCGAATCTGGGTTGGTCACTGGGACCAGAGATTGACTCTTCCAAGCGTTCTGGCTTATCCTGGAGCCCCTTTTCAGGGAGCTTCTCTCTACTGGAATATGTGCTTTGGGCAATTCTGTGAGTCATGTTTATGTGGTGCCTTCCAGTTGGCTGATTGGTGTATTGAGGGTTGGGTATTGGCTGTTGTTTCCTTGTGTTGCCAACCTCTCACCTTCTAAGTACTTGATTAGCTGGTGGTAAATCAGCACTCCTGTTAACTGACAAGGGGCCAGTTTCCCAGGCTTCAGTCATTTCCCTGGCTATCTTTGTACCTGTATGGCCAATGACCTTAATAGCTGCAAAATTAAATGTGTGTCCTTCCTTCATTCATTCAATGTGAGTCTTCCAAAGAGTCTCACCTGACCCCATCTGACTGCTCGTTTATGCTCTTGCAATCTGGTGGTTAGCTTCCTCTCAGTTTGTCCTACATAATCCCAGGAACAATCCATGAAGGAGATCCGGTATATTACATTGGAAGTATCTGTCACCTCCCAGTGATCTTCACAATGCACAATTCATCCTTGCATGGCAGCCTCTGGGAGGCATGTGATGCCCACTTCAGATGTCAGAAACTGTGTTCTAGCATTTCCAAAATGTTTTAGGCATGGCAGAGTGTGCTATATAATTAGTCTTTCTCTCTCTCCTTTGCATTTTGCGCAGGCATCTTGTAATAAATCCTTGTGGGTACCCATTCTGCTTGAATTGTTCATGTAGGTACTTCTCTTCAGTTGTTTAGCTTGCTGGGTACTACAGTGGGTTCTGAGCTGTGTCAGAATATGGCAAGGTGAGAAAAATAGCTAGGGAAATGATTGAAGGCTGGGAAATGGGCCCCTTGTCAGTTAATAGCAATGCTAATCACCCCCAGCTAATCAAGTACTTAGGAGGGGATTGGCCTGGCAGCTCAAGGAAACAACAGTCAATTGCCAGTCATCAAGACACTAATCAGCCAACACCACATAAATATGACTCACAAAATAGTCCAAAGCACATATTCCAGTAGAGAGAGGTTCCCTAAAGATGGGCTCCAGCATGAGTCCAAAAGCTCGGAAAACTCCAATGACTGACCCAAATTCCATCTTGCATCATTATCCTTGGACAAATATATTTGCCTTCATTCATAAATCACTTTTTTTCAATGTTGTAACATCAAATTGTCACTAAACAAACTTATAAGTTGTACTGGAGCCAAACATTAGTTCTATATGTGGGAATGCTGTAGATTTCAGGTGTTCCATTATTGGGGTCAGGCAACAATTCCTTATTCTGGGTAATGCAGTCTTGGTGTGTTATGTAGGGTGTATTGTGTTCTAGTGTTATGATTTAATACAGATGTGAAGAATCCTGTGAAATGAAATAAGACCATAATTTCATCTTTGTCTATGGTTGGATCTTTGATCTGTTGGAGATACTGTATTGGGGAGTTGGAGTATATATTTCCCTTTGTGAAGCATCCAAGCTAATTTGTTAATTCTTTAACAGTGTTGTAGATTGTGGTTACTGGTAATGATACAATTAGCCAAAGAGGTATGCCTTTGGGGCGTCCATAAAATCAAGTGTTCACTGTTTTTCATCCATCATGTTTTTTCTTTAATGATCACTGTTTTTCATCCAGCATTATTGTTTTTTAGTGATTTTTCTTTTCTTGGTAAGGTCACTGAGTTACCTTGATCTGGTTGTCTAGTTTCTGTGTTGAATTGGTGTTTACTAGGGTATAACTTTCTTTGTCTTCCAATAATTCTTTGCCTTTTTATATGTGTTGGAATTTGTCCATAATAACTATGGTTTGGCCTTTGTCTGTTGGTGGGATGATAACAGATTGGTCCTTCTTTATATTTTTGAATGCTGCTTGTCCTCTGCTTTGAATTATTTTTTTCAATCTCCTTTTGATCTGTAGTATGATAGTTTTATGCTTTATGAGTCTCTGTGGAAAATTCTGTGGTTCTAAATGCTTCTTCTAGGGCTGGAAAGAATTCTAGATGATTAGTATCATCTGTGTTGAACTTGGGGCCTTTCTGTAGAAAACTGTGTTCTGCAGTAGATAGTAGGCAGCTGACATGTTGACCACATATTCAGGTTCCATTGCTTCTTTGGTTCTGGGATTTAGTTTCAATAGTTTGGCTTGTAGCTCAGTTTTCCTTTTTCTGGCATGTCTCTGGGAACTGTTCTCGATGGTTATTGTTAGTCTTTCAGTGTGCTCTGGTGTTGATGGTACATTGTAATTGCTCCCTGAGATTTTCCATGGTATGCTGACATTTATTCAATCTGAGGTGGATATCTATGAGCACGAGCTGTATACTGTTTCATGCAGTTTCTTTGGTTATTTTCCATCCAGTTGTGCATTTTATTGGAAGTTTATATCTGAAACTGGTGAGTAGGGCATGCTATCATAGGCATCCACACAGGAAAAAATAGTCGTTCCTTAGTGGAAGTGTGCCTTAATGCAAATTTCTCCCATTTGCATGCTGTCTGAAGTGTTTGAGGCCCATATGTAGTAGCGATAGAAGAAAATATTTGTAGTTGAACTCTCTCTCTCTCTCTCTTTCTCTCTCTATGTGATTATGCTATTTATATAATACAAAATAACAAGATGCTATATAAAATAGGGAAACAATACATGTGATAAAATATGTAACATAAATATAAATGAACTCATAACACCAACATACATGAACTTGTAATCGTTGGATTTTTCTCAAAGACTTATTCCATGGTGTTATAAGATATGGTAATGGACCTATTCACAGGATATCAAATGACTAACAGAAAAAAGAGGATTTTAAACTTAATCTTCCATAGAATCTCTATTCCTTAATCTCAAGTATGGGACATAGTAATTATTCATTTGTGAGAGAAATATACCTAAATTGTTTTGGTCTTAATTTGAATGTTCAAGCTCGATCAATGGAGTTCAAAAGAGACTGAGCCTTGACTTAATCTTGTTTTAAAATAAGCCCTGAATGTATAATATTTATCACTATCATTAAAGCTTAAAAAGTCTCTATTTTCTTTGAATTTTACCTTTCCTCCAAGAACCTAATTATCAGTGGGATATTCAGAATGAATATCTGCCAAGCTGAAGTGGGCTTACTTCATAAGGTACAGCATTTGTAATGTTTCGCTTTATTGCCAAGTGTTACAAAATAAATATATAAACCACATAAATGGAAGCTGCAAACCCAAGTACAAGTCAAAATCCTATTTTTTGTATTGCAGGTTACACCAACTTTTTCTTTGAAACATCACCTGCCATCTCCCATCTGGTTCCACTCCCCCGCCCCCCATTACTACAATCCATATCTGGAAGATTATCTGCTACCTAAGAGTATGACTCGGACAGAATCTCTTTTCTATTAAATGCATCCTCAATTCTAACCAGACCTAGCTAGCTGTTTTATATGTTGGTGTAACTTTCTGAAGTTAGTGTAACTTTCTGAAATTCATAAACATGAAGCCAGTTGGTTCAGGGGAAAAATCAACCAACCGAAGTGCCTCTCCTCACAGGAATACTTATAGAGCTCAGTTCCAAGCCCTGAGAAGGAACTTTGATGAAGAACAAGGAGCAGTAGGAAAAACTCAGCAAACCAGGGGAAGGCAATATGGCTCCAATGTCAACAGGATTAAGAATTTATTCATGCAAATGGGCTCAGAGCCTAGTGAGAATGCTGAGGGAACAACAAAAGTGAAACGTAGAAGTAGTCTACTATCCCCTGAAGGACGGAACAAACCTATAGCAATTGTGGAGAAAGCAGATGGATCAGTTGTACAATTAGAAGCTTCTGTTTCAGAAAGGATTAGTAGATTTGCTGCTATGCACGATGAGTCTTCCAAACTTACTGAAATCAGGAAGGAGTTTAAAAGAAATGAAACACAGCCTTCCAAATACTGTTCCCCAAAGAAGGAGAAAACAGTCTCTGTTGATGAACAGCAAGCTGAATTGTGTATTTCTAAGTCAAGCAAAGAAACTGCCCAAGAAGCTGCAATGGACAGTTCTAGTTCAAAAACAGAGGCTGTTTTTCCAACTGTGACTGAACTTAGTGCAGTGTTTGAAGACATTGACTCACAAAAAGATGTAGTTGTTTCAGAAAAAGAAAGCAGTGAAGAGTTTACTGTAACTGGCCACTATCCTCTAAACCTGTCTGCAGTCAACAAAGATTTGTCTCCCACAGTTGGAAGTCTTGATAGCTTTAGTCCATTAAAAGAGACCAGTGCTTGGCCCTCAACACAGAATACTAGTTCAGTAACTCTTGAGAATTCTCTACAAACCCCTACTTTAGTTAATGAAAAGTCAGAAAGCACTTTGTCTGTTTTAAAAACAAGTGAAACACAAATTAAAAGTGCCTCTTCTGGGCCCTCTGAAGCACTTGAACAAGAGATAGTAGTGGATAGTTGTGACAAACAGGATATGGGTGAGACTAAGGCAGAAACAGAATCTAATGCATCCTCTTTGCAAAAAATGGTATTGGAGGGAGCTCAGAATTTAGAAATGCCAGGAAACCCTGTCCTTATCCAGGACAGTGCTTTCCATGTAGCTTCATTTTCAGTTGAAGATAGAAGTGAAAGCGAAATGCAAAAAGAACCAGAGGATTTTTGGAGCTCTCATGGATCTGGGGATACTGATAGCAAGGTCCACAAGATAGTATCAATATATAATTTTGATTGGGAGGCTGGAACTGAAGAGGATGATCAAGAAGATAGTGATGATAACACCTTTATTATCCATGACAACGAATCTTTTGAAATTAGTGGATTATCAGACGAAGAAAAAATCCCACCAACCAGAAAAATTAAATTTAGTACTGCTCCAATTAAGGTAGGTTTCACTAGCATTTCTCTTGTATATGCATGCATATTTTTTATTCCAAGTTGGTTGATTTTTCATGGTTATTGTTTTCCTAATGAATATTGATAATGGGAGATTTTGTCCAATTCCACTGAGTAATGGATAATTTGACTAGAAAGTGATTTAAATTAAACAAGTTCTGTGCTTTGAGGCCCGTTGTTAAATGTTAATTTAGGAAACATTTAAGCCAATGTCACATAATGTTTACCTATTCTGCAATTTATTCAGGTTAAGTTTATGTCTGTTAAGCCAATTTCTCTATGTAATTTTTTTTTGTTATTAGCCTTCTAATAGGGAATGAGGAGGCTGAATTATTAGGATAAAATATTAATATGTATAAGGAAAACCAACATTCAAAAGTGTAGAGAACTCAATCTAATCTATTGTGGGTGTAGTAATCACTTATCTATTAAGAAATAATTGAAACACATTTGACAACATGGTTAAAAGGTTATGAGAGCTGATGAAAAAGATAAGCAGGTATAAAAGTGACTTACGACCAGTTTGCACATTAAGAACCATTGCCGCACCCCCATGGTCATATGATCAAAATTCAAGTGCTGGATAACTAGCATGTACTTATGACATTCGCACTGTCATGGTGTCAGGTGATCACCCTTTATAACTTTCCCAGGTGGCTTCCAACAAACAAACTCAATGGAAGAAGTTAAATTCACTTGACTGCATGGTTCACTTAATAACTACAGTGGTTCACTCATCTGTGGCAAAAAGGTCATAAAATGGGTCATAATTCTGTTTAGCAACAGAAATTTTACACTCGCAATTGTATGTTGAAGACTATGAGTAGTTATTAAAAAACTGCTAAACTATAATTTGAAAGAAAATTAATGTTAAATATTTTTAGAGTCTTAATTCCCTATATTTAACAACTGTATATATTGTAAAAATAGCTTGCAATTCAGCCTAATATAATGTTTAAAAAGATAAATATAAAGGGAAAGAAAGCGTTGCATGTGTAGAATACATTGAAGAATAACACTGAAGAATAACAATTTTTTTTTTTGCTTGGAATTGGTACTTATACCATATTTTCTTATTTTCCTTTCTAACTTGGACTCGCATTTGCTAGTTTACTTCTGAAATTATCAGGATGACACATTTATTTTTAATTTTAAAACGTAAATTCTGGCAGTCCCACAAAACTGGTTTTTGTCTTATTAAAACTATAACCCATTATTACTCAGGTATACCTTACTATTTAGATCAAGAGTTTTCAAATTTGTCAACTTTTAAGATATATGGACTTCAATTCCATATATCTGCCCAGCAAGCAAGCTATACTACTAGAATATTTGTTTTCAGTGTATCTGATAATTTAGAAATCTTAAAAGTTTGGAACCATTAATCAGGTGTCTAGATGCAAACTGATTTTATGATGGCTGAAATTTTGACATCAACATTTATTATGCTTATATCCCTTCTCCATAAATATATAATAAATGATTTGCAATTTTTCTCAGGAACCACCTATATAAAACTGTCAGTCTACCCACTGCACAAGAAACTCTGCATGTGTTTACTATGTACATGCGCTTCATTTTTGGGTTTGTTTATCTGGAGGCAAATAGTCCTTAGGATACATTCTTTATTGGAGGAGTCTTCAAACTTGACAGCTTTAAGACTTGTGGACTTCAACTGCCAGAATTCCTCCTCCAGTCATGTTAGCTCAGGAATTCTGGAGTTGAAGTCCACAAATCTTAAACTTGCCTAGTTTGAAGACTCTTGCCTTATTGAATGAAGTTTTTGAAAATACATTGCTTGGAGAGATGAGAACTAGAATAGATTTAAGTACCGGTGATCCTTATTCACAACCACTTGTTCATTTAACATTTCAATTTTCAATGGGTTTAAATGATTTATGACAGGTCTTCAATATTCTGGCTTTTGCTGCCTCCACAGACATACTTGCAATCCTGGCACTTAGCAACTAGCCTTGGTTTCTGACAATAGCAGTATCCTGCGGTCACTTGATCATTATTTGAGACCTCTGCTGGCTTTCCACAAGCAGAATTATTACTGGGAAAGTCATCAGGAAGATGCAGTTGTGTAGTCCTCCCTTAATAACCCACAAGTTATTCACTTAATGACCATAACTGGGGACTTTGTGCAAAGAATTCTTTATTGGCCAAGTGTGATTGGACACACAAGGAATTTGTCTTGGTGCAAATGCTCTCTGTATACATAAAAGAAAAGATACATTCATCAAGAGTCAAGAATCATAAGGTACAACACTTAATAATAGTCATAGGGTACAATAAGCAATCAAATCATACTTGGAAACAGTCCGTATAAATAGTAAGGATACAGGTGCCAAAGTTACAGTCCTACAATCACAAGTGGGAGGGGATGGGTGATAAGGAGTGATGAGAAGATTAATAGTAATAGTAGTGCAGACTTTGTAAATAGTTGGACAGTGTTGAGGGAATTATTTGTTTAGCAGAGTGATGGCGTTTGGGGAAAAACTGTTCTTGTGTCTAATTGTTCTGGTGTGTAACAATTATATAGTGTCTATAGCGTCGTTTTGAGGGAAGGAGTTGAAACAGTTTATGTCTGGGATGTGAGGGGTCTGTAAATATTTTCACAACCCTCTTTTTAATTCATGCAGTATACAGGTCCTCAATTGAAGGCAGGTTGGTAGTAATTGTTTTTTCTGCAGTCCTAATTATCCTCTGAAGTCTGTGTCTGTCCTGCTGGGTTGCAGAACCAAACCAGACAGTTATAGAGGTGCAGATGACAGACTCAATAATTACTCTGTAGAACTGCATCAGCAGCTCCTTGGGCAGTTTGAGCTTTCTGAGTTGGCGCAGAAAGAACATTCTTTGTTGTGCTTTTTTATGATGTTTTTGATGTTAGGTGTCCATTTTAGGTCATGTGATATAGTAGAACCTAGAAATTTGAAGGAAATTTGAAGTGCTATTGCTAAGCAACATGCTGTATGATGTTGCATTTTATAACCATATCACTTAGTAAAGGAAATTCCAGTTCCAATTTCCAGTCATTCAACAAGCAACACCTATAGAGTTCGAAAAGGCATTGTGAGTATGTAATAAACATTTAATGCTTCAAGGATGTTGACTATTCATGAACTGTTTGAATATTAAAACTGCATAGAAAGATTAAAAATTGGGTAACCAATACAGCATTTGCAGTATCTCTTAGTTGAAGGATTGTATATTTGTATAGTCTGAGTGAGTTTGCTTTTAAGTAGAATGCTATAGTTTAGCTGCAGGAGATAAAGTTATCTTTAGACAACTGGCAAAGATTGAGTGGAAGCAGCATGTGTAAATAATACAGAGGAGGTTTAAAATATGAAAAGAGAACTTCATTGTCAGATGATATCTGGCACTGAAATCCCCAGCTAAAATCACGGACTAGTGTGGGAAAAGTAAAACCAGTCTGATGTTTAAAAAAAGAAAATCCTCTTGTGTTTTCCAAGAATCATAACTCTGGGAGATTCACCTGTGAGGAGGAATACATGCATTAATCAAGTGTAAGTATCATTACATTAAAAGAGGCAGAATAAATATTTTATGGAAATAAGTTATTTAGGATATGAGTGAAGATAGCTAAACAATTACTACCAACCTCCCTTCCAACGAGGACCTGTATACTGTATGAGTCAAAAAGAGGGCTGTGAAAATATTTACAGACCCTTCACATCCCAGACATAAATTGTTTCAACTCCTTCCCTCAAAACAACGCTATAGAGCAAGGGTCACCAACCTTTTGGACCTCAGGGACCACCAAACTCATTATTTTAAATCCTGCTGACCACTAATGTGAATTTTGACTGATGTGGCTTGCTGACATTGGTGAGAGGGAGAGGAGAAAGAGATATCTGATTTAATGTAGGAGGGCTAGTGATGTTCTCTCTCTCTCCCCCTCCCTCCCTCTCCCTCCCTCCCTCCCTCTCTCTTTCTCTTTCTCTCTCTGTCTCACACAAACAGAGATGCCTCGCACACCCCAACCCTTTCCAAGGCAGCCACATTCCAAGCCTGCTTTTGAGTTCTCAGGCTTCATGAAAGGAAAGCAGCAGAAGCAGCAGAAGTCTTTCTTTCTCTCCCCCCAGACTCCATCAGAAATGAGTCTTTGCCGGTGCAGCCTCTTGGAGCAGGATGCCTTGCAGGATCCCAAAGACTCATTTCTGGAGGAGTTTGGGGGAGAGAAAGAAAGACTTTTGCTGCTTTCCTTGCATGCAGCCAAAAGCAGAAGAAGAAAGAAGTAGAAGAAGCAACCTTGTGGCCAGGCAAGTTCCCCCCTCCGCCCTTTCCCCTTTTTCCTCACTACCTCGTGTTGTTCCTAATGCAAGTGATGCAAGCCTTGTGTTCCCATGGGCCATGTGGACAGCGCAGCCTTGTGTTCCCCCACAGCCTGGATTAATTGCTAAGGAGGGGTGCTCTGGGAGTGACATTTCTCTGCGGACCACCAAAATTTTCTCACAGGCCACCTGTGGGTTGTCTGATCACTGCTATAGAGCACTGCACACCAGAACAACTAGATACAAGGACAGTTCTTTCCCAAACACCATCACTCTGCTAAACAAAGAATTCCTTCAGCACTGCCCAATTATTTACAAAGTCTGCATTACTATTACTATTAACCTTCTCATCACTCCTTATCAACCATCCCCTCCCACTTGTGACTGTATGACTGTAACTTTTTCACTTGTATCCTTATGATCTATATTGACTGTTTCCTAGTATGATTTGATTGCTTATTGTACCCTATGATTATTATTAAGTGTTGTACCTGATGATTCTTGACCCTTGATGAATGTATCTTTTCTATATACTGAGAGTCTTTGCACCAAGACAAATTCCTTGTGTGTCCAATTGCACTTGGCCAATAAAGAATTCTATTCTGTTCTATTCTATTCTATTCTATTCTATTCTATTCTATTCTATTCTATTCTA